GATGAGGCTGTTGCTCTACGCCTTGCCTAGGAAGTGAGAACATTTCTTAACGCTTCTTTCGACTGGCGAATAGTATAGTCATAATTTTGTAATGTTTAGGATAGGTATTAGTTAGTAATTTTTGTTACTTGAACGTGGTGTTATTCTTTATTTTTATTTTTTTTTTTTATTTTGTTTTGTTTTTATTTTTTTTATGATTTATTTTGTATTTTTTTTGTTAATTTTTTGGGATTATTCCTCTTTTCAAATATGTTGACGCCTGAACTCCTTACAGGGTGTGGCTGAGGGCTTGGCTGTTTCACATTTTATATTGTATTTCATAGAAGGTGGTTTGGAGTAGGCGTCTAATGGTTACATAACCCAGATAGCAATCGTGCGTCGCACGTAGGTCGCACGGAGTGAGAACGCACACGTGTGGTCGATTTCACACGCATATGCGTAGCATAGCCGTGCGCGCCCACGCGATGAGCGCAGTTTGAGCGCACGACGTGATCAATGATCTCTTACACTGTGCTTATCGGCAGTGATGCCAGATTCTATTAAAAAAATAGTAGATTTCGTTTTTATTCACTTTATAATTACATAAATGATACAATCAATAATAATGAAATAACTTAAAATTGCAATTTGCATTGTTTCACTAGGAAAGTTCAATTAAAATGACTCTATCAATTTAAAGTTCAGTTCAGGTATATTACTTGGAAAAATCTAAAAATAAAACTAAATGTTTTAACCTGAATTTTTAAATTAAAGTAAATATAACTAAATTAAAAATAAAAAATAAAAACTAAAGCTGAAAATTTTGAATGAAATATTAAAATTGGTAATTTAATTGCAATATAATAAAAAAATTAAAATTGATAAATTAAAATAAAAAAATATATACAATTGGTGCCGAACGAGCACTTCCACATTAATTACCCTTGAATTTTATCCTAACTTCATTCCCCATTTTAATATCAAATCTAACAAACTAAATCCCCGGGTTCGATTCCCGGTCACAGCCTTGGGTGTTGTACTTGTTTATTAAACAATAAATAAATATCATGATCTGGCTAAATAGTCTTAAAAAGACTAAAAGTCAATAAAATCTAAAAAAACTATATATGAAGTTTCTAAAATATCAAAAAATTACATATTACAAGATAATATTGATATTTTTCTCTAGCGCCATCATACTACCCCCCAAACATCCTCTTTATATTTTTTTTATTTTATTAATTTAAAAAAACTAATAAATACGCTTTAACGCATTAAAAATATAAAATAATAAAATTTAAAATTTCTGGAAAAATTGAGCCGAAAAAAACGGTTTTTTTCGGCAAAAAACGGAAAAATTGGAATTTTTTTTTAGAAAAATTGACTTTTTTATTTTTTCTAAATTTTATTTAAAGGTTAACACGAAAAAATGCAAGTCAATTTTTCTGAAAATTTCTAAATATTTACAGATATCCGTACACAGTTATTGAAAAAAAAGTGTATTTCCGACGCTGATTATAATCATATTATATGATCATTATTTATGATAATAATAATAACTCCTTTTATTTTAATTTAGTAAGAGTATTCTACCAAGCCCCAAAAAATACATTTATAAAATAATTTATTTAACAATTCGATTTATGAAATTATAATTTTTTAATTTAACTTTATGAAACAATTATTATTTTGTAGTTGGTAATTTTTAATAGACTCCAGGGGCGTAGCTACCGCGGTATCAGCCGTATCAATGATACGGGGCCCCCGGCTAAGGGGGGCCCCCGATTGGCTTCGACATGCGTAAGCAAAAAACATATTACCCATATGTTATAAAAATTGAGGCATAAAATGGAATAAATAAATAATATTATTATTTAATTGTTTATACTTCGATTTATTGCATTAAAATTTTTCTGAATACCCTCCTGTTCCAAGGAGACCGTGAACTCATACGAATTGTTACTGCCCGCACCTTTCTGCTATGCGTTGTCTGCGGCGCAGTCTGCGCATATTGTTCTGGGCTCTGCGCCGCATACTTTGCGTGTTATTATCATAGGTTATATTAATATCAAATTAAAAATAATTATTAGCGTTATAAATATTTGTATACAATTATTTCAAATGACTTGCCTTTATTTTAAAATAGAAACCTTTTAAAAGAAGAACGGTAAATGTCTAAAACCAGACAAAAGTTTAAAATTTGCCGTACATAAAAAGATATGTATACATATATTATTTATTAAATTATAAAAAATTGGTAAATGAAAAAAAATCATACCTTAAAAATTTTTGTTTACTCAAAATAGACTGGGCAATTTTTTTGCCAGTAGCTTTTCCCGTATAAGGGCCCCTACCAGATTTTTGTTACGGGGCCCTCTCGAGGCTAGCTACGCCACTAATAGACTCCTTTAAAAAAAAGAACCAATAGTATATTTTTTACCTTTATTTTCTTAAATAAATTTAATTTAATTCAATGTTTAGTTTGTTTTTTTTTTGTAATAAAGGATATTTTTTTTTAAATTTAAATAATGTTAAGTTGTTTTTAATAATTTAATTTATATTATGACCACAGACAAAATTCTGTGTATTATTATTATTATTACAATAATTAAAATTTTAATAATAATTATTATTATAAGACATCCAAATTTATTATTTGTATTGTATTTTTGTTATTTTGGGTAAAAAATTTCATAAATCTACTAAACAAACTAAATAAGAAAATGTCAGAATTTACTAAAAACTAATTTTTTTAATCCGCCCGTACATAAAAAGGTTTACTTAAAGTTTGATAATTCAAAAAAAAAAGCTTAATTAAAAAATATTTATTAGGTAGCCTAATTTAGGTTGTCAATTTTTAGTAGAAACACCCTGTATTTATAAAATTGATATTTTAGTTTTTAATTTTTTTTTTAATTACCCGGTAATAACATAAAACACATTGTACTTATTTATAACATTGATATTATCCTTTTTTTTAATATCTAAAAAACATAAAAAAACTTTTATTATTTTTAAAATAGTAAAATTAACAGAAAAAGATGATCTTTTTTTACGATTATAAGCGTACAAAAATGATCATCGTTTTTCTGCCTTTAAATCTGCATCTGCATATATAATTTAAAAAATACATTGACACAATTACTTATGGATAAAACAATTTTCTCTTACAATCAGTTTTAATAAATCGGCCGTCATAATTGTAAATTTCATAAAACTCGAACGCGCGCCCCAAAATTATAACATAATTACATTTAAACGAGTGAACAACTGTCTCTAGCATGACGCCACACGGAGCTAGAGAGACAGCGCTACCATTCGCCTGTTTGTATCGTGAATTTAATTCAAATATTAAAATCATCGGCGAGACGTTGCCAAATTGTGCAACGCAACAACATACAGTATTTAAAAACATGTATATTGGAAAACGTATACTATCGCAACGCCCTCATCGTCAAATTGATTGAACTAAATATACCCATTTTTTCCATTTTTAGTATGTTGTTGCACACTTTTTCTTTCCAAATATTTAAAGAAAGCAGGGTTAAAATAAGAAGATAAATGATTATAATTTAAATTTAACAGCACTGACTAAAACTACGTCTTTCTTCTGTCGTCGCTACCACTTCACTTTCTCTCGTCTTCTATCGCGCCATCTACCGGTCCTACAATTCGGCCGTCCTGAACTTCTTCCGTCTCGGAAGAATCAGAAACGTAATCATGCCATACTTTCATATACTGAGTACAGGTTGTTGTCATCTTTGGACCCTCATTAACTCCCATTTTCTGAACGTCATATGTATCTTTTGGTTTAACTTTTACGATACGATATGGACCAAGAAACTTTTGTTTAATTTTCAAACACGGATCACCTTGAGTTCTTTGAATTGCGACCAAATCACCGAGTTGATATCTATTCGCAGGTCGTCGTCTAAGATTATAGGTTCGAACATTTTGGTTTTGAATCTCGTTAATTTAAGCCTTTGCTATTTTTCTTAAATCAGCACGATCGGCGCAATAATTTTCGGCAACAGCGTCTTCAATTGCTTCTTTTATGTTACTTTCCTCAACAACATTCATCTTTACTCCGAAAAGTAACTCAAAAGGCGTCATCTTGATACTTCTTTGAGACGTCGAATTCAAAACAGCTTGAAACTTTGCAATATATTTGTACCATTTAGTAGGATCTTCTGCGGATAATTTTGCAAGAACTGGGATTATTGTTCTATTTAGCCTTTCAATTTGGCCATTGCTTCGAGGTAGACCCGTCGTTATTAAATGTAATTCGATCTTTTGCTTATCAAAATATTCATGAAATTCCTCAGATCGGAAAGCAGAACCCCTATCGGTAATTATTCGTCTTGGATTCCCAAAATTTGTTTGTTGCAAATCTAATTTAGCAATAACTTCCTTCGTTGTTGTAGACTTGCTTGCGTACAGCCAACAATATTTGGTAAAACCGTCAATTACAGCAAAAATATGATGATATCCCTTATTAGTGGAAGTAGAATAGCTATGGGGCTTCTGGCTCACTACTTCACATTTCGGCCGCATGGTGGCGCAACATGCTGGGCTGTGCACTCGTTGGCGTTACACGATGGGCGGGAAATTCAAAATGGCCGCCGGCCGCCAACCAATTGCAGAAATAATGATGGGCGGGGCTTGTTGAATTCAAAATGGCCGCCAACCAATTGTAAAAGTAATACTGGGAAATGCAAAATTATGACTCGTGGTGGCTCCACTTGCCCGGTTGATTCTCAAGTCTAGTAATTGCACAATATTTCGAAATTTTAATTTATTCTGGCGCCACACTGGCGTTGTTTTTCTCACACGCTGAGACGCACTTCCCTAGAGGCCCCATTGGGGGACCGCAACCTTGCACGATACTTAGAATTTTTTCCGCATGTGACGCCACCTGCTGAAACTATACGTATACTACAGGAGCGTACAAATTAAGCTCGTACCAAATATTACGGGGGCGCGCAAAATTGTAATTGTAATTAATATATTCACAGTGGTGAGACTATAAAGGGAAGGGATTGTGCAATTATTGAAATTCATTCTTATTGAAAGCACCAAAATTGGATATATGAATTTAATATTTATGACGTCATCCGACTTGTTCAGACAAGTCTATTTGGACTAGCTCCATTTTTCTTACAATTAATATTTTTGGAGGCTTGATAATTACTATTTGTATTTATATTATACTTTTTAAAGTTACCTTTGAGTTTTAACTATAATTTTAATGTGTAATATAAGGGTAAATAAAAATTGGAAAATTATAATTTTTTAATCAACATAACATTTTATTTTTTCTCCTTCTAGGCTTTATTTTTAAAGGTGGGAGTTGATCCAAATAGCTCCTGGATGGACCCTCCGGGAGCTCCCACTCTTCTTCTTTTTGTTGATTCGGCTCCGGAAGCTCCCACACTTCTTCTTTTTGTTGATTGTGCTCTGGGAGCTCCCACACTTCTTCATTTTGTTGATTGGGCTCCGGAAAGGTCTGCGTCCCAACCTTATTCCAATTGGTGGTTGAAGCCCCAGCCCTTGCCGCTGGGTTATTCGCCAAGCATCTTATTTTATGGTACGGTAACCTCTTTAAAAGAACTCTGTGGCTGCTGTCATATGGACAGCTTACCATACACTCTAATACATTTATATCTGCTTTTGAATAATAAATGAATTATTATAAGAATTGTTTGCTATTTATATAAAGTGGTATTATATGAACCAATACGATTCCTTGATTTAAAACGGAAATTACATCCTGTTTACAGCTACCAAACCGCTAAAGTTCTAGAAAATTTAATATGCGTAATTGATTGAAGGATTTATTATTATTAAATTTAATATAAATTTCATTTTTAGGAATTATAACGCCACCCCATCTCACAACATTCAGTATTATTCAGTCTTAATATCATCAGGTAGTAATAATTAGTGCAAAGGAAATTGAAATGGCAATCCAAAATATTGATAAATTTTTGGAAAAATTTGGTAAAGAAGGTGAAGAAAAATTTGAAAATAAATATCCTACTCAACGTGAAATATATCGAGAATTTTTGAAAAAGAAAAAATTAAAAAAGAATTTTTGGAGCAGCATCTTAATGCTAATATTGTAAATAACCAGTATGGTACACATTTTGAGACGTGCCCCTGGTCAAATTCGGATGAAGGTCCAGATACATGTCCATGTTGTATGGTTTCATTTTATGTGAAAGAAGCTAACGAGGTGCTTAAAAAATTACTAAAAATTACATGTTGTTGTCGAATTAATTGAATAAACTTTATTATATATATTCCTTAACAAAACTATTTTAGTTCAGTCCTTAAAATGCGTTACATTCAACAACCCGAAACACTACCTATAAATAATTTAGATTTATTTGAAACCAGTTCTGATGCTAGTAAACATGGTAATTTACTACCAAATTCCTTTAGAGCAATTTTTTGCGGTCCCAGCGGGTGTGGTAAAACAAATGCTTTATTAAGTTTAATATTTAATCCTAATGGAGCTAAATTTAAAAATATTTACGTTTATTCAAAATCGCTTTTCCAACCAAAATATCAATTATTGCAAAATGTTTTAAGCAAAAAAGGTGTTGGATATTTTCCATATAAAGATAATGATGAAATAATTGAACCTATAAAAGGCATATTTAATTAGATTTTAATATTTTTATTATTTGCATATTTAATTGCATCTACTTATTCAAACGTAATTCTCGAAATTTTCCAACTCAAGTTTGTTTTTTTATTAATTCATAATACGTAATAAAATTAGCAAATAGGTAAAACATTCGTGTCATTGAAAATCTCATTTGATATTTAATATAATTTGTACATTAATACTCAAAACATATTTTGTTTTTTGTTCATTAAATGACTCATTTGTTATTTAACTTTTGATTAGCTTATTAATATTCGAAACCTGTTATATTGTTTTTAATTATTGGATTTTTTGCTTGGGCAGCGAAAAACGCTAAAAGACGAACACTTTTAACAAAGGAAGATAGGAACTTCAAAGGCCTTGTTGTACGCGGACCTCCAGTGCCGGGGAAAGCATGGAAGTTCCCGACCCTGGTGCCGGTATTCTTCCGGGTTGGTCCTCGAGGAGACTGGTCGAATCGGAAGGCAATGGGGACGGGTTTCCGACGTGAGCGGTCGGGTCGACTGGGTTTCCATCCAGGTTGACGGAATCTTCCGCCGGATGGAATAAATCGCCATCTGTTTCCACACCTGGGGCTGGATTGGTGCCCGTAGCTGCCTGCATCGTAGCTTGGCTGCGGGTAACAACCATGGACGGCTACGTTCGTCTGGGGACCGGGAACGGCCCTGTGGCTGGCCTGGAACGGCCTGGAAACGGCCCTGTGGGTGGCCTGGAAGTGGCCCAGCGGCTGGCCTGGGATCGGCCCGCTAGCTGTCCTCGAATCGTCCCTGCTGCTGGCCTGGTGCTGGAACAGTACCTGTAGGCCTGGGGGACGGCTGGTGAACGCTGCTTGGGAACTCCTCGATGATGGCTTCGCTCGTGGAATTTGAAACCAAGTAATTTCTCTTCTTTACGAAGTGTCCTGACAAGGACAATGGTTTGCCTACACTCAGGACTTTATATGGTGGGTTCTCAGGAAGAACCAAGTTCGGCTACAACCAGGACTTTGGAATGAAACACCAGGTACTTGGTAACGTCGACGGTTTGCTCTAGCTGCCAGGGGGTCTGGTAGCTTATCTCGATGAATGCTCAGAAGAGACTGACTTGAAAGGGCGTCAGTTCTTTCTTTTATAGCCGAACGGACCTCTGTCGTGCTCTGGTTCGCCCGACGTCTGACCAATCAGCGTCGAGCAGCGACTGAGGCCCGTTTCGACATGCCCCCTGGATTTTTGAACAAACCGTCTAGATTTATTCATAAATCAGTAACAACAATAAATATTTATAACTATTATCACATGGTTTAAAATGTTCGTACAAATGTAACGCGCACCCGATTATTGTTTTCGCACGACACGTCACTCTGTTTCACTATTGCACTATTTTCTTTGGAGCCGGCCGTAGATCGTTCACATGTAGCCTCACGATTCGGCCGTCTGTTTGGACCTCGTACGTGACCGGTGACAGCTTCTTGTGGATGCTGAAAGGGCCTCTCCAAGGATCTTCAAAGACCCCTCGTTCATGATTCCGGATCAGCACCTCGTCGTTGATGTAGAACTGGACCGGAATCTGGGCTGGGTCGCCCACGTACTCTCCCTCTCCCTGGGTATCAGCCAATCGCCTGGTTGTCGAGGCTCATACCCCAAGAAGGCTTTGGCTGGTGTCTCTCCCGTCGCTCGGTTGGCTCGGCTTCTTAGGATCCCCGTGGCTCTAGGTAGTAGCTCGTACCACTTGGATCTTGGATTAGTTTTCATCAAAGCTCGGATTATCTTCTTTGTTTCTTGCATCTGCCTTTCTACCGGGTAGCGTATTGGAATTGTGTACTACGATACAGAGCCATAGTGTTCTGAATCGCAGTAAGGATTGACAAAATTAAACGCCACTAAGTACAATACAATCCTTACTACGATTCAGCACATCTCCCAGTTTGTGATGTTCTGAATCATAGTAGAGAATGGTGTAGGGTATGCGCGACCGCAGCAGGCCATACTTTACTACGATTCAGAAAATAGTATTCTAATTTGAATTGTAGTTGGATAGCTTACCTACAAATACGCTAGCTGCACGCCTTATCAATAAAATTGGAATTTATTTATATTAATAAATATTAATAAAAACAAACTAGGTACTCTCTGCAGTTTTAATAATAAATAAACATTAACCCAAAGGAAAAAAAATCATTTCAAACTTATTAACAAAAAGATCGTTTTACCCAAAAATTTTGCAAGTATCAGATATAAACGTACCACAACGGATTTAAATAATATTTGAAATAGTTCATAGGCTTTTTTTGTACTTTTACATAAAACTATTAATTTTGCAAAAACAAACATAAAATATACATAATAAGAAATTTAATTTTATTCTATTGTATCATATTATATTATATTATATTATATTATATTATATTATATTATATTATATTATATTATATTATATTATATTATATTTTGTATTGTGTTGTTTTCTTTAATAGACACCAAATAAAAATACATAGATTATACTTGATATAATAATTTAAAGTTATATTTTTTATTTTTTATAACTCTGGCTTATTACTTTATGCGTGCGGCACATACGATCGCATAGCCAATATTTTCTGAATCGCAGTAAAGTATGGCCTGCTGCATTCGCGCAAACACTTCAATATTCTCTACTATGATTCAGAACATCACAAACTGGGAGATGTGCTGAATCGTAGTATGGATTGTATTGTACTTAGTGGCGTTTAATTTTGTCAATCCTTACTGCGATTCAGAACACTGTGGCTCTGTATCGTAGTACACAATGCCAATACGCTACCGGGTAGGCCACCGAGTTCACCATTCGAATCCCCAGCTTCCGGCAGTAACGTTCCCACTTCTTGAACATGAATTGGGATGCGCAGTCGGTGATCATCACTTCTGGGACTCCATATTTCATGAACAGCTCGTCCAGGTACGCGGTGATTGTGTGGTGACGGGCATCCTTGACAGCGACTGCTTCCGTCCACTTGGTCAGGATATCCTCCACGATCAGTGCGTATTTGGGTTCCTGGCCATCACCGCGATAGCGACCCAGCGTGTCCATGGAGATGGTTTACCATACTTTGGTCGGCTTTTGTGATGTCATCGGAGCTGCTTCCTGCAGATTACGCCCCTTGATCAGCTTACAGACCAAGTAAGCCTGCACGTACCGGCGAATCTCAGCGCCCATCTGGTCCCAAGAGAACCGCCCGTTGCGTTCCTTTTTGCCCGGGATGGGCACCCGCGTCTCCAGTGTGGAACCATTTCAGGACTTGTCCTCGCATCCCAGCTGGCACGTAGACTCGGCAGGTGTCATCAGGTCGGCGCTGGAAGAGGTTGTTTTCGGCCGACACAAGGAAGTTGGCCACCAGGCTTCTATCGGTGTCTTCCCGGGGGCCTTCTTGCTCTGCTCGCTTGATCCTCCTGACCAAGCCTTGTGTAACGGGGTCCACCAGTTGTCCCTTCAGGATAGATTGCACCAGGGGTTCGTCTTGGACTAGGCATACCGCAGGCGTCGGGATCATCTCATCGTATTCCACGGCTGGGCCTTCAGGACACTCAGCTGCATGGCGGGACAAGAAGTCCGGCAGCTGATTGGATTTCCACGTCTACATGTTCTATCTCGAAGGAGAATTCCTGTAGCAGTAAGACCCACCTGGTGAGTTTGGCCCTGTCGTCTTGGTGGTTTTGGAGCCACACCAAGGCCCTGTTGTCGGTCCGGATCAAGAACCTCTGGTCCTTGAGGTACTGACGGTACCTTCTCACTGCCCAAACCATCGCTAGGCACTCCTTCTCGTTGATATGATAACTTCTTTCAGCCTTGTGGAACTTGGACGAGCTGAAGTGTATCAGATGACGCTGCCCTTCTGGATCCTGTTGCATCAGGACGGCGCCCATCCCTTCGTCCGAAGCGTCCAACTGGAGAATGAACCTCCATCCTGGGTGCGGCCGCTCCAACCTCTGTGGCTTCTCCAGGGCGATCTTGGTGTTGGCCCAGCTTTCCTCGCAGGCGTCCGTCCACAGGAACTTCTCGTTTCCCGTAAGCTCTGTCAAGGGGGCCACCAAGGTCGCCAAGTTTCGGATGTATCCTCTAAGCCAGTTGACCAGACCCAAAAACGCCTGAACCTGACGTTTGTTGCGGGGCCTCTCGAAATTCTTTATCTTCAACAGATGACATTCCCTGGCTCTGGTGAAGGGTCCCCTTACTTCATACCCCAAGTATGGCAGGC